CATCCAAAGTCACCTAATATTTAAGTCAGCATTACAGAAAAATGTCCTCACTGCAGGTGGACGTTACGGTCTTCACAGGTCCCTCCCAAATCAAGGAAGCTGTTCCATTCCATCCCATTCACTTTCTGTTCTATTCAAGCACTTTACATGTATTATGCCATGCTGCTCCTTCCACATACTTCTCAGTAACAGGGACCCAGCTCTCATGTCGCCCTCCAGCTGCCCTCGGGTTTTGTTCTGTTGAAATGGAGGTCCTGCTGCATGCTCAGAGAGCAGGACTTCTACAGCAGAGCTACCTATCAGCGCCTGGCTGCGAAAATGTATCTGGAAGAAAGGCCAACACGAGCCAAGGAAACTGCTACATTTCTTTAGAACTGTGATACACTATGGATAAAAACCGTTACAGAAGAAGTTCAAAGATGGATTTTCTGTAGTAGCAGAGATGAGTGGCTGCTTCCTCCCCTTCCCTCCTCGCCACCTGTCATTCGTGTTCCCAAGTATTTGTGTTAGGAGTTTGGCCACTTCTAACACAAATACTTCACAAAAGCCAATAAAAAGGGGTGTTCATAAGCTAAAAGCACATCAGTGAACTCTGTAAGGAATGTATTTTTCCCTGTAACTACACTAGATTCTGTTAAATTTGCTGGTACTTACTCATCTATTTTTAAAGGCTTTCAAACCAGGCAGTAGAACAGAAATGATATAGAATTTTTGTGTGAGAAAAACGCATTCTGATCTCCTGCAGGACAAATCACTGCCCTTTTTCAACAAGTATGTTCAAAGGGACTGAGGTTATGTATCCTGGGCTGCACTGCCAGCAGGGAGGTGATCCTGCCCTTCTGCTCTGTGCTGTGAAACCTCACGTGGGCTACTGCATCCAGACGTGGAGTACTCAGCAAAGGAGAGATGCAGAGCTGTTGGAGCACATCCAGAGGAGGGTCAGAGAAACGATCCTAGGGATGGAACACCTCTCCTAAGAGGACAGGCTGAGAGCTGGGGCTGTGCTGCCTGGAGAGGAGAAGGCGCTGGGGAGACCTGAGAGCAGCCTGTCAGTACCTAAAGCAGCTGTAAGACAAAGGGGACAGACTCATTAACAGGATGTGTTGTGACAGGACAAGGGGAAATGGTTTCAGACTAAAGAAGGAGAGATTTAGATTGGATATAAGGAAGTTTTTTTACAATAAAGGTGGTGAGGCACTGGCACAGGTTGCAGAGAGGTGGTGGATACTCTGTCCTTGAAGACACTCACAGTCAGGCTGTTCAGGGCTCTGAGCACCTGACTGAGCTGCTGGAGTCTTTGTTCACTGCAGGGAAGTTGAACTAGATGAACTTTAAGGCTCCTTTCCAATTTAAACAATTCTATGATTTTATGATTATATGTTTTTGCACTAAGTTCTCAAGCTGACTCCCTGTACCCTCTGCTATGTAGAAATTCAGCACATAAGAACACAGTTAGCACACCACTTGCAGCTATACAGAGAATTTATCTGTAATTGCTATTCTTCCTCCTACTCTAAGTTATTACAAGTTCTGCTTATTGAACAGAAAGCTGGAAGTACTCTAATAAGCACATCTATACTTATTTCTGTTATCAAGCACTTACAATCTGAAACTACTGAAGATGAGGGACTTTCATCCTGTTAGGATAATCATCCATTTCCTGGGAAGGTATGCTATCTTCTCCCCAGTTGGCAAGCTTAATTGGCAAAGCAAGCAGAAGTACATGACCAATAAATGCCAGAGAAAGTCTCTGTCCTTAACACGGTGAATGATGGTGAGACAAGGAGAAAGTGACTTTTCTTAGATACTCGGGCACTTCCTGGCAGACTGAACCAAAGGGAAGGCTTCCACCTAATTTAATGTTTGGCCCCAAGCGATCTTTCACCCAACATATATCTGAGAAGTGCATTGAAGTTCTTTTTAGAAGGCTTGCAGGAATTTCATACACTGCCCTTTTTCACCAGCAAAGCAAATGACAGCACTGTGACACTCTGAAAGCTCGTGCTGAATGTCAGAAAGAAAGAGATCTGTAACTTAGAAGCCCTGAACTTTTAGGCCATAGGAGCCCTAATGCCTGGCAACTGCACACTGGGTTGTAACTTGGAAAATGTCAGAAAAGGATGAGTTAGGACTCCTTGTAACACAAGTACTCAAGAAGTCTGTCCAAAAGCGACATATAAACCCCGGGGCACACGCAGCCAGCCGCACGCAGTCACTGCCAGCTGCTTCCCAACAAGATGCTTCTATCTGTTCAGAGCAAAGTCACAGGTCTAGCAATTTGAAACGGCAGCCATGGGAAATGGGAAAAGGAAACCTGTCTGGAAACTACAGCAAGGAGAGCCAAAGGGAGATAATGGCACACAGCAGGGTAGAAGAACTCGGAGATTAAAAACAGGTTCAGTCATCATTTTCTTTTGCCCACAAACAGTGGTTCATCACTGCACACTGCAAGGGAGCGAGCATTTGATTTTTCATGAAAGGGATGATCAATTGAATCTGAAATATCAAACAAATTCCTACTTTGGCTCAATTTATACAGTTGTGTTCTTCAGAAAGAGAGGGGATTCTGCTATTGAATACGAAATACATCTTATACATCTCATCTACGCCCAAGGGTCTGAGCAACCTGCTCTAGCTTTCAGGTCTGCCCTGCCTGGAGCAGGAGATGGATTAATTGACTTCCAGAGGTCCCTTCCAGCTTGAAGCGCTCTGCAGCTCCTGTGCTGTGGGCTTCATGCAAGATCTAACTTCCTTCACATGGAGTGTAATGCCAAACATCTACTGAACGGCACAGAGCACAGCAGAACCCTCAGAGCTCACCTAACACCTGGCTGGGCAGCCTGGCTTTGGTTTCTGGCTTCTGGCTTTGGCTTCTAGTTTCCGGCCTCCTGCTCTGCCTTAGTGGGGAAGGTTTGAGGTAGCAGCAGGTGTCACAAGCCAGATAAGCAGGGAGAAGCTGCACCCACTGTGGAGTTCACTGAATTGACATGTTGGAAAGATTATCAGAAGCTCCAGTTTTGCCGAAAAGGCAACAAAAGCACGAGTTTCCCCTAGCTCAGCACTGCCTCCAGAATATGTGGTTCCCTTAAACCATAATAGCAATAAAATATTTTAAAAACATTTTAACATCCTCCATTTTCATCCTTGGACATCTGTTTTCTGGCTGCTCACGCACTATGAATTGAAAGCTGATCCTGACTGCTTTTAGATTCCACCAAGAGAAACTTGCAAAACTGTCCCTTCAGGTACCTTAGCCAATTTACAGCAACAGTACAGAACTGTGACTACGTCACATCTAAAACATTCAGATGATGTCCTTACATGCACACAAAACCACACCGGTTTATTGAGAGAACGGGTCTACATCTATGCTGCCAGATCAGTGTGTACATTTATAATGCAGACCAAGATTTCAAACTGGAGCACAAACACCACTGCCTATGGAAGGCACCCACAGCAGGTGCAGGTAACACAAGGCACCACTGTCCTTTTACAGTCCTTAGACAACCCTGAGATGTTTTCCAGAGCCCAGTATGTGAAGAGAGCAGCATGTAAACTCCACAGGGACAAGCAGCTGCTGCACATCTATTTCTACTAGACGTGGGCACCTCACGCCCATGTTTGGCCTTTGGTTGGTAACATCAGATTTTTAGGAAACAGAAAACTTCGTACTCGCTGCCAGGCTAACAAACAGTTGACAAGGGAACCACAAACAATCTTTATCTTTTAAAATTAAGACATTGAACATTTTTCAGCATTCAGCCTGCAACAGCTGTTGTGACATTTTTGCTCTTAAACAAATAGTGACTACAGAAAACAGAAGCTGGCAGTTCTCCTCTGTGTTCTGACATGAGATAATAGCTGTCCTTTTGCTGGATCCAGTCTCAGCCTGTCGTTCCACAAATGGCAATTCTGGGCAATTCTCTCTCCCATCTTTTTACTGCTGAACCCAACTGAGAAGTTGAAGCAGAGACTCTCAGCATGGGCACTAACAACAAGGATTGTCATGGCAGAACAAAAGTGCTTCCAACCCAAGGAACTCCCTGATCCTGCTGTTGCTGACAGAGGACATCAGCCTGACAAGGATAGGATTCCTCCAATGAGGACTCAGCACTTGGAACAAGCAGTGGCGATGCAGTCTGATCACTAAGAGCAAACCCCAGCTTCTGTGGTAATGGGGGTACGTTCAACAAGATACATCTATAGGTGAAAGAGTCACAAAGCAAGGAGCTCTGTATTAGTTGTAGATGATATGTCCTTAAAAACGATGGGTTCTGATACTTCTCTTAAGCTATGAAAAGCTCTTTCAGATTCTATAAGCAGACAGCAAACACGAGGGCGCAGAATCAGGCCCCCTGTGCAAGAACTACAGCTGTGTTCATTGATATCTTTAAGAAACCATTAAATTGAAGTACTGACATGTTAGGACTCCACCTTCAAAACCTTTTCTCACAGAGCTGAAAGATTACTCAGAATTTCTTCTTCATGATAATTGTCTCCATTCTTAAGGAAATGGATGAAAAATTCCTAGGCGTCCTCATGATTTGACTGAAACTTGCATTCGTCTCTAGTTCCACCACTCATGTTTGTTTTTTCAGTTCTTCCTTTTTCCCTACACAAAATGTAAGCATGACTGAAATGTCACCAGATACTTGGAAATACTCTTAAAAATACAAGCTTTTGGAATCATCTGGAGAGAAAAATCCTATTCGTTAAGATGAATTAATAAAAGTCATACTGAAATCTTGCTACATTATGCAGGTATATGCAAAGTAATAATTAAAAACCTATGATTAAGGAGACAAATGAGGGAGCACTGCAGGACCAGAATCTGCAATAGGAGTGAAGTTACTAAAATATACAACACTGAGTAAGTTTTCTACTAAAAATAAATACGCTATCATCAGAACTAACAGAAACTTCATTATAAACAAAAATTACGCCTCACTGACCAGTAACTCTTATTACAAAAGAAAAATAAGGGCACACGCCCACTTTACCTGCCGAGGGGTCCTCTCTGATTTACTCCGGCACCACTCCCAGTCCGTGAGCTCTGGTTTGTGGCCCTCCTCGTGCGACAGCCTCCTCTCGGCTCCATCCGCGCTCCTGCCCAGGCCCGAGGCCGTCTCTCCACGCACCCCCGCGGCGCCGGGCCGGCCGCTGTCCGTGGTGCTGAACCCCGCCGGACCGGCTCTGGCGCCGTCCGCGGTGCTGAGCCCCGCGGGGCCGGGCCGCAGGCTGTCCGCGGAGCTGAAGCCCGCAGGGTCCGGCCGGGCGCTGTCCGTGGTGCTGAGTTCTGCCCGCGCCGCGCCGCCGCTGCCTCCCTTCGGCGGCTCACAGGGCTTCTCGCAAACCAGCAGGTTGTGGCACGACGTGGATTTACCATCGCCATCGTGGTGGTGGCTCTCGGGGGATATTCGATAGATTCCGTAACTGTGCTGGAAGGAAAGGTTGAATTCGAAACCTCTGTGTTTGGCTGAACAAAAAGGAATGAAATGTTGTATCAGGAAGAGTCAAAGCCAACAAGGAAAATGACATTACATACATAATTAAACTTACATTCTAAAACATGGAACACATACTCCAGCCCCAGAGATAACCCAAACCCAAACCCACATCCCATTTTTTAATGCATACTGTTACGCATAAAAAGAAAGAACAACTAAGAATCAATATCTCAGATAGCAGTGCCTTGTCAGTGAACTCAGAAATGCTGCATTTTGAAGTATAGGGATTCCAAGAAACTGCTAGGTTGCCTGCCATTTTCTTGGTGCATCATACTTTATGGACTACACACAAAAAAGTATTTGAATTTTGTAATACCTTTCTTTTCCCCCCACAGCCTGTTTCAGCCACAGTCCTGAAGGTGAAAAATTGTACAAAATGAGGAAACGTTTCTGAGTACTGAAAATCGACCTTCAATGCAAATACTTCTCTCAGAGTACTTTAAGAGTTGTATTCTCATTTGTAACTCAGAATACAACACCTCTGCACAGACACATGAACACTGGAGATTTATTTCACAAATAACTGTGAGCAGGAAATTTATGGGAAAACATTATGCAAAATTTGAGTCATAAATATCACGTTACCCACATTTACAGAAACCTAAATGTGGTTTTCACTAGGGGTAAGTTCACAGAGTTACAGCTGCATATCTCTGTTTACTGCCTCTCTGAGAGTTACCACACGACCAAGTCCATCACAGAAAGGACAAAAGTCATGTAGCATCTAAAGAGACAGGCTGTGGCACAGACAGCACATTCTCCTGCAGCTGGTTTTACCTGGAGGCACAAGGAAAAAAAGGCCATCAGAAAATTCTGAAGAGGTTATCATGTAAAGGTCTGCTATCCTCAGTTACCTTCAGGTAATTATTATAAGCATGCAGTAAACATGAAATTTTTGAGGCCAAAGCTGTGTAGTACATCTTCAGCTTTGAACTAACTCCACAAACGTACTTGGATAACGACCTTTCCTGGCCTTTGTGGCTTGCTTTCTTGTGTCACTATGATTTCTATTTGCTAGCTATAGGGCAGGTGTAGAAACAACAGCTGTTCTCCTTATAATATCCTCACAATTAACACGTTGCTTTTCCCCACGCCACAGTTAACGTGGCCCATGTATTTCACCAGTAGAAATCAGATTCTGGCAGATACATCTTGGAGAGGAGAGGGAAACTGGTATACAGAGTCCACATTCAGAGCTCTGTTGAAAGCTCTGCCAGTGACTTGTGAAACTCAGCAAGCTTCCAAGCCTCACCATCCATGAGTATCAGGCAGCTTGCTTTTCTCCAGCCATCTGGCCAGAACGCTGTGAATCGCTCACACCGCTCCAAGTGACGTTCACATAATTCAGATACTTTGGGTAAATGACTTCAAGAACTGTTACTAACTTCCTTCCTAACTACACTCCAGCTGTACGTCAGCCTCCCAGCCTTACTTTTGAGTTCCTCTGAAGACACAGCATATGAATTCCTCCTGCAGTTTATGATGCAGCCACAGGGCAGGTGGATCCAGTGCTCTGACAGGACAAATACCGGGGTGACGGTGGCAGCCAGCAATGTCAGCAGGAAGCTAAGTGTCTCAAACGAAAGGCTTTGATAGCCAACGATGTGCTGGACAACCATTTGTATCTGAAAGGCAGGACATTTTGAAATTTAAATTGCTTTAGGCACATGATATACTTCCAGGAATAAACAGAACATGAATGTGACACAAGTAAAAGTTTTCAATGTTTCTATGTTCAGCCTAACAAGCTTTTTTCTAAGAGACAGCTGAGAAAACATACTGTCAAAGATTCTCCTCCTCATTCTCCATTTCTTAGAAACCTCTTACTTGAGCTAAACATTAAGTACAGATGCCCAAATACCATTAATACAGGCAACTCACAGTCCAAGCATCTCAGAAGAGACTGCTAGCTCAATCTCTCCTGCCTGGTACTGAGGAACTCCACCTCCTGATGGAAAACAGGAGAACTTTGTATCACCAGGACCGTGCAGCAGATGCTCTGTGACGCTCTCTTTCAGTTGAGGAAAGCTTAGCTGCTGTGTCTATACATACTCCAGCCCCAGACATAACTCAAACCCAAACCCACATCCCATTCCCTCAACTTCCTCCTTCCTAATTATTAATGAGTATATCTGTTCCCAAATATACCAGCGCATGCACATGAAAAACCACCTGCCCCACCACATATACTCTTTGTATAGAGATTAAAAAGATACATACAAATCTCATTTTTCTAAAAAACTCTAATTTTTCAGCCACTTTGGCAAAGGACGTGACTCACCGCTATGGGGAGGGGCACAAAAACTAGCTTACTAATATTCACAGACCCTATGCTGAAAAAATGCACATCAGGCAGCTGGAAACACAAAAAGGTGGACCTTATTCATCTCTGTGCTCAGGTGATACAAATGATGTGATGACAGAAACATCTGACAAATCAATCTCTGTCAAGCCTGCAGAAAAGCAGTTAAATTCATGTAAAGCGGTGCAGACATGTTCAAAAGGACTTTTGCTGACACAATGTACACTGTAAGGAACAACTGCAACAGCTACTGTTCATCTATTTCAATTCATGGCACATCAGCTCCTGCCCCATTTAAACATAAATAAACATGAAAAAGCAAATCAATCTGACAATTTACCATCATTGGAAGCCAGAGAATGACTTTTGTCAACGCAAGAATCAGTGAGAATCGTTTCTGGGCAAAGCCCACCGTGAAGCTCCTGCTCTTTGCGCTGTTCATGCATCGGGGCTCGAGTCCACTGCCCTCAGCCACACCTTTCCTAAAAACTGCCTTTGAGCTTAGACACGCATTTGGGAAATGCTTCAGGGTTTTATCCACAGGGTCCACTGGTGACAGACATGGGGTGGCAGTACTGCAGCCTGCAGGTGTCCCAGGGGTGATGTAGCCTCGAGAGATTTCCTGGTAGTCGATGTGTAATAGCTGTTGTTCATCTGAGCACAACAGCTGGTAAGTTAGAGGGACAGACAGCACTGTGAGGAGGCAAAAGCACAACGAGTAGACAATAAATAAGAACAAGATGTAGGAGCTTGCATGGTCTGTGAAGCAGCCCCATGAGGTGGGGATGTACCTGCCCCAACCACAGAGAGGCAAAATGCAGATGAGCAAACTGATGATCCAAATGCTGAGAATTGCCCACACGATGCTCACTCGTCGTTTGGAAGCACTGCAGTTCATTGCCTCAGTTCTGTTGATGCTATAGAAGTTGTAGGAAACTATAAGAGACCCTTTCAGATTGCTAGAAATGCCCTGGAATAAATATATAAGCGCTGAGGTGGTGCACAGAGGCTGAGGAAGGGCATCACCCGACCACTGGGTGAGCATGAAAATAATCACTGGCACAATGCTGATCAAATCGTCTACTGACAAAGAGGTCACAATCATTGAAACTGTGGATTTATTCTGCATTTTAAGCAGGGAAACTAGTGAATAAATGCTGCCCAGAAGCACTGTGAATGCAATGATGAAAGTCAAGCAAAACAGAAAGACATTCAAAGTTCTCTGCTCATTAGGTTTATCTATAATGCCATGATTTTCAGTGAAGAAGCCTGTCCCATTGAGTGACAAATTACTAAGCAGCACCGACATTGTCCTCGGCAAATGTTGCTCCTTGCCTTCTCACTGACTCTGCAAGTTTTCACAAGCTGAAACCAAAACTGTTAGTTCCACATTGCAAGTTTGTTTCCTTTCTTTCTTTGTAGCATCCGGTGAAGAAATATTCGGGTTTAAGCTCCCTTGATAACCAGAATAACTCATGCTCTTGAAAAACCAGGCAACAAAGAAGTACCAGAGGTGCTGGAAAAAATACAGCTCTTCATAACCCTTTCAATACTGGAAGATAGTTAATTCAGTCTCTTCAGGTAATAACAAGCTATTCACTTTTGAGAGATATCAGGCAACGTGCCTTACTCACGAGTTCAGCTGAAATGAAGGCAGAGCACCAGGTATGTTCAAGCTCAAGGAGAAACATAGTAGAAATGGGAGGCTGTTGGATTCACCCTGTGCTGATCTGAGCTGCAGGAGGGAGGAGTCAGAAGCAAGCAGGATAGCAGAAATGGGGAGTGAGTATCTTCCCAGACAGAGCTGCCTCTTAGCTGGATCAGTGTCCCTGCTAAGCCCCACCTCCGATGCTGACACTGAAATCCAATGCAAATACTCAGATCTGATGTCAGCCATAAATGTCATTCCCGTAAAGCCCATGGCTGCTTCGTGGCTGTGCATCACCAGCTGGAGAGCTGCTTTTATTCTTCTGCACTTCTATGCTCTGAGCTTAGCATGGTAAGAGCTGCGGGAGCCTTTTATGAAGATGAAACAGAAGGCTGTGCCTGCCTTGCCTTTTTGTATTCCTACTCCCCCTGCAAGCGTGTGTGCATGCATGTGCACACCATATGGATGCTAATTGTACAGTTACTTAGTGACAGCCCTTCATTAATGACAGGCAACAGCCATGCACATCAGCAAGGTGCTGCCTGTCTGTGTGTGTGGTGTATGTGGTCTCTCAACTCAGTCTGGGGTTTATACAACTTCCATTTCCCATGTGATTAAGATCGAAGTGCTCACTGCCTGCTCTAATCACACACAGGTAGAACCACAGCCACGTGCATTTTGGTATTCACAGACATTTTCTCCTAAGAAAGTACAATACTGATAAAGCTTATCAGCTGACAAAATTTACAACACTTGGACAGTAAGTGAGCAGGTAAGTTCAGTGCAATCTTCTAGGAGAACTCTGCCTCTCTTTTCTTTTGGGCACCACTCTGCATTCAAATACACGACAGAGATGCAGGAACAGTATATTCCGAGTAAGGACTGCATGGTGAGGCTGCTCCAGCTACACTGTAATCTGTGTAACACTACAAATCCACCTGTTAGTAAGGACCCAATCTCATTCAGTTCCACTCAGCAGTAAGGGAGCACAGAGCCAGCCCTGGTTGCCAGCTGTCCTCCCTCGTGCTGGGGCAGCACGGAGCTCCCAGAGGTGCCAGAGCCCCCAGAGCAGGCAGACAAAACCAGTACGTGGCTGCGGCTCTGCCACAGCTGGCCCACAGTGCGAGGAGCAGAGCCAAGGAAATCCATCATCTGTCCTTCACTCCCAGTTACCAAGCTGCTTGGCCACAGCACTAGGAAGGGCTGCACTCACAACCAGCCAGATCCTCAACCATCGTGCCAGCAATGCACAGTGGCATCCATCCTGCCTTCCACATGAGGCGCAGTCCTGGATCTGGACCATCCATCTGGCCTTTAACTCTACAGGATTTGACTCGGCTTTTGTGATTTATCCATCCTTATGGACGACTGATTGTTAATCTGTGCTGTGCCAGCTGAAGGCCAAGGCTCACTTCTTTGTATTTACAAATCACCATCACCTTTGCTCCCACAAGTCAACATTAAATTAAGGACAGTGCTCTAAATCTTTAGATTAACAGCGTGAGCCTGGTCAGAAGTACAGTCAAGAGATAACAAGAAAAAGGAGCATCATTCACCCTCGTTTGGACACCTACTAGAGTCTGGCCTTCTCAGGAAACACATGGCCACCTGTGAAATATGCAGATGCACGTCTCTCTCCCACTCTTAATTCCTCAATTTCTTTTGACAAAATGATCATTTTAGTCACAATCTGATGGTGTCGAGCCACTCAGTTCTCACAGTTTTCATGAAAATGAGCAGCTGATGAGAGGAGACAGACTCTGGTGGACTCCTCAGCCAGGAGACAGACCGCAGCAGAGTCCAGTCTCTCCTGTGTGCTGGTGAATACAGAGACTTTATAAATATTCCAACAATAAAAGAAAGCATCAGCTGGGATCTATGCCTTCCCAGCTATTAACTAGCTCAGATGCTAAGCTGCAACAAACCAGCTTAAATCACTCCAGCACATCTTAGTGCCTCCTGACACATGATCAATCACTTTCATTTTTAAATTCTGTTTGTTTGTTATGTTCTGCCTGTGTTGTCTTCATTTGCTCTTGTCACATTACTGTGAGGTATTCACAGCAATGTTAATAATGCCTGGGAAATATATTTTACCTACTGTGGAAATTTTTGCTCCTCTATCCCAAGCCATTAAACCTGCACAGGATGTGTAATAGCTCTGACTGCAGATATCAACCAAAAATTTTCTGACAACTCCCCTATTATGATCTTCTCTGCACACTTCTTCACTGTCCACGCTTTACCAGCTGTGCCTCGTGGTATCCTGGACTCGTGTGTCCAGTACAACCTGAGTCTGAAACCTCTCTTACAGCTGGAGCAAAAGAATTTGCACTAGGATTCACTGTTCTCTTCTAAAGTACAAGTTCCTATTGCACCATTTCAGAACTTAAGGGCACACTACCTTTCTAATTCCAATTTCACCCGTAAATTTCACTGAATTTTTTCAGATTCAATTAGACTGAAGGTGGCAAAGGCAGGTAGGCAAGCAGAGACGTAGGCAGTGTCATCAGAGCCCCCTTCTACTCCCATGTTTTTACTCCCATGTTTTCTAAACAAACAGGAAGATATCAGTGTCAAAACCACAACGGATGACCTTGCAGAAACCAAGAGAAAGAAAGACTCACTTATCTGCTGCTACGTCCTTCATCGAGACTGCGTCAAAGAAAGCAGGGATTTGTGGATCCTTACCACCTATTCCCCTTATTCTCTGCATTTAGACTCCTGGACGACAGGAGGGTCCCAATACAACACTGTCTTGTGCAATATACATTCATTTTCCCGGCGCAAATTTTCTGTGCTAAAGAATGGCCACAAAGAGAGAATATGTAAAGCGTGAAAATCTCCTCTCCTGGCCTCATTTCAATCAGCACTGCACAACAGCATCTCTTTAGAGAGTCAGCAGCATTCGGCGTATATGGGAGGATTTCTACGACGCTGCATGCAGCAACTCAGGAATGCATGTGAAGTGAATCAAGTAGCATCCCAGAATCATATCGTATCACAGGACGGCTCAGGCTGGAGGGGCCCTCAAAGATCCTCCCGTGCCAAGCCCTGCCATGGGCAGGCTGCCAACCACTCCATCAGCGCCCATGGCCCCATCCAACCCGGCCTGAACGCCTCCAGGGATGGGGCACCCACAGCTCTCTGGGCAGCTGTGCCAGCGCCTCGCCGCCCTCTGATAAAACATTTCTTCCCAACATCCAACCCAACTTCTCTCTTGTACTGTAAAGCTGTAAAGCCATTCCCCTCATCCTGTCACTGTCACACTGTGTAAAAAGCTGACATAACCGTATATAATCCCACAAATGCCTTTCTAATTTACTCCTCAAAAGCACTTGTCTTCAGATTTCTTTCTTAACAGGCTCTCAAAAAAATGCCAAACCAAACGATCAGTTTTTGTTCTACTGGATTCAGACATCGTTTTCGGACATAAGATGGTTAGACTGCAGGTTCTTATTGCATCTGCTTATTTGTTCCAGATGAACTCCATCAATGGTGGCTTCTAATCAAAGGCAGACATTTTATTCTTAATCCATTTCCGCTGCAGCTGTATTGCTGTGCTGTAGGGAAAGGGTGCTTACTGAATTTGAGCAATTAGAGCAGTGTAAATCAGAAATAATTCCATTACACCTAAAATATGATTTAACTTATATACTCATTGTTGCCTGGACTGCAGCGTCTCCAACTCAAGCAAAACAGAATCATGCTGTGCAGATGCTCATTTTGAAACCAGTGGATTTCTGCTCCGTGCAGTAACACGTCACAAGCTGTCCCTGTGAGCAGCAGCACCCTCTCTGAACAGATGTGCTAATTCCAAGAAATGCCCATTGCCAGACCACCATAACTCCCTTCTGTGCTGTAAACACAGACAGGAGATTGAGACTGCAGTGAACTGAATGCTTTTGGTGAGCTGTAGTGTTAGTAAGAGACAGATGGAGCTGGAAGTGAGTAAGCCCCAATGTTTCCACTGGGTGGGGTACAAAGGTGACGTGCATGTCTCTCCCTATGCACAGCATGGCAGTGAAAAATGAAAACACTGCCAAAACTTCGGTAAGGTCAGCAACAGACAAGATGGCTGAAATGAGAATGAACCCATCTGGTTACACTGTACACACATTACCAGAGATGATCAGGTGCTGTCATTCAGGAAATGTGCCAAGTGGGGAGAAGAGAAAACAAGCAATTCTAAGGTAACAGTGATTCCAAGAAGGAAACAGTGAAAAGGAAGAGCTATTAAGGAAGAGGCAGTATATACCAGGAACAGAAGGGACAGTTGCATTCAGGAAGGCGTTGTTCTTCTAGTGGATAGCCAGACAGAGACAGTAGCAAAATCTGTAGCTATTAAAGTGGAGAGAAGCTCAAGTCTGGATAGTAAGACATGGAAAATAAGACGTTCTCCAAGCTGCGGTGTAATGGCTCTCCTGAGACAAGACACTTCGCCATGCCACTTTCTTTGAGCAGCCACCAGCTCAGTGAATTGATAGGAGGAGACAGACAGCTAGCAGGATGCTATTCTTCAGTGCACCTCCTCACAGTAACTGTTTGCTTTCTAATAGAGAGCACAGCAGGCTATGAATATAATTCATGGAACAGCATGATATGAATGCTTTTAATTTGCTGCACAGCTCTCCTAGCACTAGCTGCACTAGTGCAAGCCT